AGAATATTTATTTTATTCATTATTTGAAAGGAGAAAAACACAATGATGATCATACTTATAAATTAATCTCTTGAATATCTTTTAAATAAAACGAAAAATATATTATTAAGTTTATATAATAATAATAATTAAGTATATACTGTACTTTACATAATTTTACATATATAATTATATTTTATACGCAAATTTTCCAGTTTTTAGCAGAATGGTTACGCCGAATACCATTAATTTACACAATATAATATGCACAATATAATGTTGTTATGCACTTTATATTTAGAGCGCGTATAATGTTACGCGTATAATTTATTCATTTATACTTCCATGTCTTTCATTTGCACAATTTTTGCATATTTGCAAATAAATGAATCATGTGCAAAGCATTATTTAAATTCTGAATAAGTCAGATCATTACATTATACACATATATAATTTATTAATTATACTTTAAATGAACGCAAAGCATTATTAATAAATTGATACAAATAAAACGTTTAATGTTTTTGAAAGATGCAGTAAATTTATTTGAAAATTTTCTAGAAATTAAAGCTCTTAATTAGTATAAAAATTTGTGTTTTTATTAAATTTTAATTTGTTTGAATTATTTATATAGTTTTTAATGTGGTATTATTGTTAAAATGGGGGTTGAAAATCAATTGTCTACGGACATTTCCTTAATTGCACAATAAATAAATAAGTAAAAATACATTTAAGTAAGCTGTAAAGTATAATTATGCATTAATAAAAGTTTAGAATATTTATTTTATTCATTATTTGAAAGGAGAAAAACACAATGATGATCATACTTATAAATTAATCTCTTGAATATCTTTTAAATAAAACGAAAAATATATTATTAAGTTTATATAATAATAATAATTACATCTTTAGTGAAAAATAAGAGAAAAATTAAATTAAAAAATTTAATTAATCCAACATGTTGGATTAAATCTCCACGAAATAAAAGAAGTAAGTTAATTCAGTATTTACGAAGATTTAAATAATGTTTGTTAAATATTAATTAAGATCGAATTCAAAACGTAATAATAAGATCATTAATTTGCTTTTACATAATTAATAATAATATATTTTTATTATCGTAATTTTATATATTAAAGAGACAAACTTAAGACGAAAACATAATTTTATTGTATCTTTTTTTTTCAAATTATAATTTCATTTTGATGACAAACAGAACAAAAAAAAATATTTAAAAAATTTAAAAATAAATCTCTCTTATCGATTAAACTCTAATTAAATTCACTACTACATTTTTTAATCACGTTATTTTGAATTATTTTAATCGATTAATAAATAAATTCCGCAATAAAATTCAATGTTTATAAGCTAAGAATTATTATATATAGGCACGCGTTTAAGTATATATAGCCTAACGTTTTATCATTTTAGAAAATTATTTAGCAATATTTTAAATTAATTTTTATTTTTAATATTAAGGAAGATAATTTCTTATTTTTAAATATATTTCTTTTCAAAATATATATTATATATATATATATATATTTTCGCATTGACATAGTGGATTTCCGAACGCCATTGATGATCAATTAAATTTCTTTTAACCTAGTAAGTGGTTATAGTAAGATAAACTCTTCGACTTTCTATTGAGGATAAGTTGAACTTTCTTTTTTCCTTCAGTTCGCAAGATGGTTCGCTATCTTTTGCACCGTTTAAGGATGAAGGACATTAAGATAGAACGATTTTTATGTTCCGTTTTCGATATATATACCAAGTATGTCGCTATAGAGAAAGAATATGGCGTGCACTATCACTATGAGATGCTTAATGTATGCTTTATAACCGGAACAGTACACATCTCAAACGAGTTTATTGGTCAGTTTATCGATATATTGACCCGATTCATCTCTTTGAATTCTTCTTTTGATAAATATAACACCTGTTTAAAGGATGACAAGTGAACAGATGAGATTGGACACGAATACGTTACGCCAGTTTCTGTACGGGAATTAAATTTTTATAGCAAAAGAAACGAATTTAAAGTAAACCCGCGCGGTTAATTTATTGATAAATCGATATTCTTTCACTTCAAATACTAGTTTTAACAATTCAGAAATGTTGTTATTACTATAAATATATATATATATATATATATATGTAGTTTTTCTTTGTATTAATGTTTATACTTTGCTTACAGGTATATTTTTAAAATATTAAAATGACATTTTTTTGCGGTATAAAATTGCTAGAGGGTCTTTTTTTATGTAGTTTAAAATAATGCTTTTCTGAAAAACTTCTATCGATTTGGTATACATACACACAAATAGAAAAAAATACTGACCCAGTTTTGTTTAATACTCCATAGAAGTTCGGTTTTGAATACATATTATTATTATTTTTTTTAAACGTGTTAGTAGGGTCATACAGACTAAATTATAAGTTAACTCTATACTAAAATAATTTAATAGTTTTTTATATTATACGTCTTCATTATCAGTATATTTAAAATTTAAACATAACATAAAACATAAAATTTAATTACTTATAAATTGCTAAATAATGTTAAATTAATAGCAAAATAAATTTTATATAAAATCGAACATTTTGCTAATTTATAAAATAATAAAAATCAGCAGCAAGAAGAATCACGTTTTTTCTCTCTTTTTGTTTTAAAAAAAATACTTTTTACCGCAAATCTACTTAATATTAATTGGTTGGATTCACGAGAAAAATTGCAAACGGGCTAAATTCGATCCGGTTTTAAATTTGTACTGTTAAACGCATACATTACTTTTAAACGCCACAATTGGAAATTTAATGATACGTGATAAACACTTATAAAGTATATCATTTAGTATTATAACCAATCTAGAAGGTAACTTAGTTGTATTCTCGATTGATTTAAACAATCATCTGAAATCATTAGAAGCATCAGGCAAGGTTTATTTCAATATTTCTAAAGGATAAAGTCATTGCAGAAATCTTTTAAGAATATTTATATATATATACACGTTTCGTGTCATTAATTCTTGCAAAGATTTCCTAGACATNTTTAATTTTATATTTTATTATAATATATATTAAATTATATTTATTAAAGATGTAACATTATTTTAATATCCAAGATTCGATAAAATGGACTTTAACGAGAAAAATTTTAATGTCCTGCCGCATCAATCGTGTGATACGATTGTAATATAACAGAAAATCCAGCAACGAGTTACTTAACTTTCCCGGCAACATTTAGTGGCGTCATCTGTTATGATATTTTATTTTAAAAATTTTTTATATTTTTAAAAATTATAAAATGGGAAAACGATTAATTTTGAGGAAAGTGATGGGTTTTATAAAAAATTGTAAATGCCAATAAGCAGTAAAATCGTTATTAAGTCCGACCCTACTGGAGATACACACAACCCTATTTATTTCCCCAACCCCTCGATCTTTAACCACCAAAATTTAATAGCATCAATTCCCCTAATACACAAACCTTCCTGCCAAATTTAAAATATTTTCGACAAAAAGCACAAGAGTTATTAAGCTTCAAAGAGGAAGAACAAAATTGTGTCCCCCACCCTATCTTTCATTTAAATTGTAAGACGTGTATAAAGTTCCAGAAGCAATGTATAGATAAATATAATTGAGAGATTAGAATTATGGTGTTCTTTAGATAAAGGACAAGGGCCGAAGAATGTCGACAAGATAATTTTGAACTGGAGGACAACTCTATTCTGCGATTACACAACTGAAAGAACTTTGCTATAAAACTGTTATATATATATATATATATAGGAAGCAATAATATTCTCTCAGCCATACTAAGTATCATTTCAAGAAAAGAGATAAGAAAAACCGTAAAGCTTCTATTTCTTCATAAGAAAATAGTAAAGAAAAAAACATTAGTTGTAAGCTTCTCGAGCTAAGTGGAGAGAGATCTGATGCTTCTAGAAAGAATGCTCTGAAGCCACTTGCAAACTATCGATTGAAATAAACCTAAACAATTTAAAAAAAAAAAATTCTTTTCAGTTGCTAAAAGTTTGTTTTAGTGTTTAATTAAATTTATTAAAATTCTCCCTAATTCACTAATTCACAAATGAGGTTTTGTTTTTATTTTGTAATTAGTATATTTTATACTTAAAATTTTTTTTTGTATTACAGACTGCTTAAAAATATTATTTTCAAATTAAAAACCAGTAATTAACTAATTTAAAAATTAAATTTATTCTTTTAACTAAGTAAAAACCCGTCCAAAGAGGAAAATTCTTCGGAATGAAGAGATTTTCTATGTTTAAAAAAAAAAACCTGTTCAAAACGGAAACCTGCCAAACCGGAAAAATATTGGGTACCGTGCGATTCCGTTTTATGCAGGTTTTACCGTATTTTAAATTAACTTTTCTTTTATAACATAACTACAGCCGAACCTCCAATAACGGCCACCAGTAAATGGAGATCATTTCTCCAGTAACGTGCAAGATAACCTGTAAACGGCGGCCACCGACGTGAACGTAATAAGTGACCGTTGTTCAGAAGTTTGAATGTAATTATAAAAATGCTGTAATGCAGCTATATTTAAGCACAGTTTCGAAAGTGAATGATGAGAAAAAGTTAAATGCACAACAATAAAATCTAAAAAGTATTATATAATAACTAAAGGTTGTAAAATCATTATTTAATAAAATAAATGTTTCTGACAGTTAAACATTAAAGGATAAATCTTTCGTTTACTTTGAATTATTATCATTCTCCCAAACAAAATTTGTTTTTCATTCCACGCTTGCTTCCATTATGTACTTACTGTACATAATTGAAATCTGCTAAATTCATTTTTATTATTTATAAATGAAATATTACAAAATTTACACATATTAAAAATGGTGGAAAGGCTAAAAGAGATTTAATATCACAATAATTAAGTTTTATAAAACGTATAAAACGCTGAAAATATTCAAATTAAGGAAGAAGACGAATACACTTTTGCTTTGTTGAGGACAATGCAGGAAAATAAAAGGTTACTTATNCTCACAGATTATACATTTTAATAAATTATATTTATTACATAAATAAAAGGAAAATAAATAAATAAATAAATAAATTTTGGCCTAATGGCTGTTTTCCCTTTTGTAATCCGCGAGGTTTGGTTTCTTTTTATGTTACTTTTGAGTAACCTCTTACAATTACTGGATTACAATCCGCGGATAAACCCATAAAAAAGGAACAAAATATCTCATTTTCGAAAGGTTTACGAAGGAACATTTCGTAAAAATTTCGAAATTCCGATTTTGATATCTGTTCTCTTTTATTGTATGTATGTATATATATATATTTATATAATATCGTCCCCCCTGAAAGAAAAGAAATAAATAATAAATCTCTAACAAGATGACCACCGATGAGAAGAGACATTAGGCTGAACGCCTCGCTGCCTCGTGAGCCTTTTTAACAATGGCTAACTTAGAGTTTTCGTCTTTAACGGGTAAGTCGTGATAGGGTGGATCACGTGTCCCGTGGATCATCAAAGCCCATTCTTTTAAATAACCAGACTGTTGAAGTTGGCTATCGAACTTTACTTCCAGGCTCCAAACCCCAACGGGATTTTCGCCCCACGTGTGTGTCGTCATAAAGGGCCATTTTGTAAATCCATCGTATTTATCGTCGTCGTTTGGTCTTCTACTCAATATCATCGATCTGAAATATTGATCATCGATTAATTAGCATCCTTCGTCTTTTATCTTTTTATTATTTTCTTTTAAACTTTATTACCTTGTTCCCATTGGCGAAATAAGAAAAATTGTCACATCTCCCCTTCTTGTAGCATTTAAGGTAATTACGGCCTGAACGTGTTCAATGTAATTAATTTCCGTGTCCGTGTTTCTACACGCATTTGTTTCGATGCGAAGAATCAGGCTGTGGTTGCTTGGTATAGAGCTATAAATGCAATATATATATATATATTTATTTATTCATTTCTTTAAATCTATATATCAAAAGTTTTATTTACTAAAAAGTTTCTTATCTAGGTATAAAGTAGCGACTAAATTCGTTTACAGGAAAAAAAAACCTTTAAAAGTTTCGTGTTTAGAGAGCATTTGCGATAACGTCTAGAGTCATTCCTGTCTGATGTTTCAATTTACAGATTGAAGGATTTAGAATTTTCGAAACGTTTGAGTGCATGCACCTTTGAAGTTTTCTATACGTTATAAAAACAGAAATCTCTTAATGGAAGTGATTAATATTGTTTTGACAGTTGTCCACCAAACACTTTTAATCAGCAATAATAAATTGACACATTTACATAAAAAGTAGACAAATATAAACGAGCAATTGGATTTCTTAAAATTATTTTTCTCATTTTAATGGAAGTAATTAACCATCATTTTTCTTAAAATAGATAAATTATAAACATAATCAATTCGTACGAAAATTTCCATGAAAGTTAATTAGACTTATTTTAATAGACGTCATCTATGACGTCAAGGTAAGAGTAGAAAGGGGATGTTGAATGCAAATTATATTTTTAGCAATTGATTTAAATATAATTAATATTACATATAGCTATAATTTTACACTTTTTCGTATTTTAAAACAAAATTATTAAATATAAATATTAATTTTTTAAAAAAATCTATTACGAATTTAATATATTAAAATCACCTTGAATGCATTTTATAATGATGGAATCAACTCATTTTACCTAGAGGAGAGGGAGCATAACAAGGAGGAGTATTTATCGAATGAAGAACGACGTCAATTCAGAAAAAAGTAAAACGTATAAAAGTCATTAAGATCTACGTACTTGCAGCATTATTTATACCAAACTTTATAAACGTATCAAATACTTACTGGAGATTGTTGATGGTACCCGCTTCGCAATGGTATCGAGCTGGTACAGTTTTCCAAATACTAGCCAGAGCTACGATGGCTCCACCATCTAACACCCCAAATCCGAAAAGATGATTGAACTCTAATCCAACACCATTCATATTCCAGTGAAATCTTCCTTTACTATCGTATAAAGAATTCCTCTTTGACGTCAGAACTGTCAAATGTTGTATGTCTCTCCACGTCAAACTCGGGCTAGTGAACGTTTTTTTTAAAAATAAAAAATATATATATATATAAATTCAATACGAATGTAAATTTATAAGGCAGAGTAGCGGAATAAGGAAAAATAATTAGATTTACTTCGCCTCTAGAGCTAATGCAAATATTCCAGCAGCTTCTGGTGCAGCAGCCGATGTTCCCGAATGTGTTCGAGTGCATTTTCCATAAAGGTCGGTAGTAGCCTGGAACGATGCATAATTTAAATATTCAAATCTAGACTTTTAGACCCACCGATCTTTCGAGAAAATTGTCACTCACCACACCGGTATGAGGATCTTTGGCTCCATTACTGAAAGTCGAAGCTAAAGTGGAAGAACACGACTCGTCGTAATGAGCATTTTCTCCATTGTTGATCGCCGAATTAATCGATATGGTCCACATACTAGCGGCGTAACCGTCGCAATTGCAATCGTCGTCTTCTCCGCCGTCACCCGATGCCCACACGTAAATATTACCCAAACCTCTCCTACCCTGTAAATCACACGAGGTTATCTATATTACCAGGTGACGTTAATTACTAATATTAATTAATTACGATACGCGTAACTACCTCGTTCACTCCACGAACTATGGCTCTCATTGTAGCATTCCTGGGACCGTCTACGGTTTTTCCATCGTCTGTAGGTCCCCAACTAGCGCTGTATATGTCTATCAAATTTGGTTCGTGTCCCATGGAATTTGCTTCAATTAAATCTGTCATGTAAGGTTGATCTAGCATTCTTATACCTGAAACATTGTAGAAATCGAAACAAAATCAATTTCTTTGATAATTCACTTCAAAATAAGGCAGATGTTAGATCGTACCGGCAACTTTAGAATCGTAAGCAACACCAACTCCGCAAACGTCATTATTTTTTCGAGCTGCCACTTCACCCGCACATCTGGTACCGTGACTATTAAATATTAAAATAAGTATAATCTAACTGCAGTATTTTAATATATATTAAACAAATTAAAGTCAATTTATAGACTTGAATATTTCAAATGGCTTCCACTAACCTATTAAACCAATCGTCGGTATATCTGGGATATGGAAAAGGATCATTGCTACTAAAATCGTAACTAGCTTTGGCATTCTGCAATGTTAAAAAATGCATTATTTATCTCATGTTATGGATGATAAATCATATTTTAAAATTAATTCATCGTAGGCCTATACAGTTTAACGATGATAATATTACGGATAATTTAATCTTATAGTTATTTATAGAGGTAAGCTTTAACTAGTTTATAAATCGTTAGAGAACCCGATTTTAATAATTTTAACACGAAATTAAAACATTTAAATGATTAATTAAACAGTAAATAAATAAATTAGATTAGTAGACCTTTATATATTCCTAACGAAGGATGAGTTACAGAATGTAAATTGATAAATTCTGATTCCCAAAGGTTTCTGAGGTTATGCAAACAAACTTAATCCGAATAAATTATTATGGATGTTATACACATAATTATATTTACTTAAATTTTATCAATAAATCGTTTAATTTATTATATATAGAACTATATAAAACATATTCTACGTATAGAGATTGTTAAAATAAATTATTATAGAGACATTCCCTCTTCTAAATTAGCTCGACGTAAGAATTTTCTTGGTGACATGTCGGAGGTTGTTCGTCTTTTTTTTGTGAACACGATCGCTACTTATTATTTCTAATGTACCTTTAGATTCTAACGTCATTTTTAGTGCAGCAATCTTCTTTCTTCATCATTACGCCTACACGTTTATGATAGAATCAGACCAATTTGGTTTGATTATCAAGTTCCTTGCTGGGGAAATTTATCACAGTATATATATATCGTTTCGTAATATATGTAATTATTTTTTCGTGTATAAAATCGAGAAAATAATTATTAGCGTAGGTTTGTTAATTTTTCTTTTCTATTGCGAATAATTTTCTTTTTAATAAAGAGAAAAATGAGCGTAGAACTAATTAATTTATTTATAAATTTATATTTAAAAGAAATAAATGATTTAAAATTTCATTTCTGACGACATCTGTAAGTAACGACGAACGATGCTAGGACGAAAACAGGAAATTAAAGATATTTGATACGTAAATTGTATTGATAAAATTCGATATAATTAATTATAACATTAATAAACACCAGAGAGAGAAAGTTTATAAATTAATTTCCAGATTCATTTTCGTATACTTAAATAGTATACCAAATGAATTTCAATCGAATAATTCCGAAAATTTTCAGAATTAGTTAAATTTTAATCAGTAAAGCGACTCAAACTTAATTGGGTTTTGTAAAATATTCGAGTTGTTAAGAAAATGCATTATTCATAAACGAAACAATACCAGAAAATACTAAAACAGATAAGAAAAGTAAAGTTGTTCAATCAAACTGAATCCGAGAAAAAAATTCTAAAGATACCGAAAAGTAGAAAAAGAAAGAAAAGGAACAGGAAAAAGAAAGAAAAAAACAGAAGTCGAAAGTCATTATATGAATTTGAATTAGTCAATATCGAATTTCAGGCTATCTAAGTTAAGTCTTTCACAAACGGTGTTTTCTATCAGTTGATTTTTCCTGTTTTTCTTTTTTTCTTTCCTAAGTTAACGACCAGACAACAGTTGTAATTTCTGGAAGCATTTACCAGAAAATTAGAACTCTGTCTGTTGGAGATTAGTTATCGAAAGACGAACGAGTTGGTATGAACCAGAGGAAATGAGATTAACGTCCTCGGCTTGACGTCTGAGCAGAAACAAGATTAGTGATAAATCCTCTGCACAACCTTATTTGAATACCAATAGCACGAAAACATTGTTGTGCCAGTTTCTTTTGTATAACTTATCGAAAGCCGATATAAAGACAGTTTGCTTATATATAAATACGTATATTTATATAGGTGTAAAATCACAGAATTTTATTTATTTTCCATGTCACTCGGTTTGGAAAAAATTCTCTGAAGATTACGGGAGACTCCTGAAAAATCTATATGTCTTGTCAATGGAACTTAATGAAGGAAAGAGCCTCTGGTAATCTTGTGGATAATCTCATCACTTGTTGTCATTTAGTGCAATCAATTTGAAGCCTGGGTCAATAAAAATGCCACATACAAGAAAAAGGTAGAAATAACTTAAAATTTGATTAGAAAGGTCACCTTCTGGTCGTTTTTTCTTCTCGAATTAAACAAATATTTACCAATAGAAAAGGCGTTACCATCGTACAATTAAACGAAAATATCGATTTCCACTCTTATGTGTCCTTATTACCCGATACATTGCCATTTTCTCATAAGACCATTTGTTATTTCGCGATTCTCCGGATTATGTTTTATTGTTTGGCTTTGATGTGATAGTGGCATGTTCTCACATTCGCCTAAGCGTTAAACTTAGCTAATTTGTACAGATTTTATAATAATAATAATAAAAATACTCAAAACTTACGTAATTTTCTCTTAAATCGGGATGCATATAATCGACACCTATATAAATATAAATAATCTGTAAAATTATTTTTTTAATAAAAAAAACCTCCAGATTCAATCTGCATTTTAATGGTGATAAAATATACTTTGGTGGTAAATAATTTAATCTAAATTAGTCATTTTTATTATAATACGTACCGTCATCCATAATAGCTGTTGTGACATTTTTCCCTGTGTATCCTTGAGCCCAAGCAGCTTCCACATTCAGATCTAATTTAGGTTTACCTCCATTTTGTCCGACATTTTTCTAATAAAATCGAAGAGAAAGCAAGAAATAATCTAGATTTATAACAAGGAAACAATATAAAATTCGAAAAAAATTGTATTTATGTATTGAATTTACATTAAATCACAGTAACATATTTCTTCTATTCATGAAAAAAACCGATGAATTTATTTATTCTTCTTCTCAAAAATGCATTATTTATAACTATATGAAATCTGAACGTTTGATATATTACGAAGCAATTCACTTACCATTATACTAGAGGATAATATTATTATAATATATTTGAAGTTTAAGGTATTATAATCCTTTGTAACTGGAATGCTTTAAACACTTTGTTTGTTGTTAATCACGCTTTAAACTGATTTCTATGTAGAAAGTTAAATATTTTTATGAAAGATTCATTTTTTTTCTTCCTTCTTTCCCTTTCAAAGCGGATACTCCTCAATTTACTTACTCGGGACATTTACTGAAAAGTCGCTAGGAAAGCACTTTTAGTCAATATTCCAACCTCGGTTGTCATGACAACGGTGACCTGTCCCTCACTGGTGGCACAGTATATTGTAAAAGATCGATGAAACGAAGCAATAAAGCTTTAGATATGTTCAAACACCATCAGAAAATCGAAATAATATTCCATTATAGAATAATACGGAATTGTTTCTAGCTTAGAATATTGCAGACTTACAATAATATAAAGCATATAAGTTATATATTAATCGAAGGAGGATGGAGAGCAATAACTAAAGTAATAAATTATAACAGGTTACTAAGAAATTCTATAAGAAGAATTGTCTTTCTTTGATATATTTTTTATTAAATTTTTATAAATCAGCTTTGTCAGAATAAATTAAATATTCTCTCCAATTTGTAATACTGTATTATGTGTTGAATTAGTACAGAAATTAGATTATGATTTATTCTTTCAGTTTTTCGAATAAAAATTAGATTTTCCTTGTTGCAAATGGATTTTCATGATTTTGACTGTCTTCTAATCAAAATAGCTTATTATATTAAGGTATAATAATTACTATTCTTTTAATATTTATTATCAAAATTTTGAACTGGCGTTGTTTTAAGAAAGAAAAATCGTTTTGATTAATTATTTTCTTGTCATTTATTCCAATATTTCATTTAAATTTAATAAAAAAATCCAGATTTTATTCAAATAGTATTAATAATTATAAAATGGCAAATATCTTAATTTTGAAGGTAGAGACGAGTTTTATAAAAAAAATTCTAATGATAACGAGTAAAATTCTTCATTAAGTCCGACCCCACTCGAGATACGAGAAGCGACCTCCCTCTCTCCCCCTCCCCATCGACCTTTAACCATGAAAATTTCGTAACATTCATGACCCTAATATCCAAATCTCTCTGAAAAATTTCAGAAATTTTCGACAAAAGGCACAGGAGTTATTAAGCTTGAAAGTGGGTAAACAAAATCGTACCCCAGACAAACGAATTTCCCTACATACAGAAAAAAAATCCCTAAATTGTTTTTTGCATATAAAAATCTTGGGTGGGGGAATTCATTTCTTTTTTTTGGACCGATTGCCACACTTTCTCTCTGTTATACATTACAGAAATGGGGAATAAAATGCAAATTTCTGAATGAATTTAATTTAAAAATTATAAATTTGAAATGTTAATTTTTCTTAAATTCAATATTTACTTTTAATAATCCCATTCGGAATTTATTTTTGTAAGATGATTAAAAAGTAAAATCAATTTCTATATAAATTTAATATATTTTAATTAATCAAATACATTTTTTTTAAGCTAGAGAATAATTTTTAAATGTTGACATTTTTAAACTCTTAATAATAATTAATTATTTAAAAGTATTTATAAATATAAACCACGTTATTATAGTTATAAAAAAAATTCAATATATTTATAAATTAATTTAAAAAGTAAATATTTAATTGACATATAAAATTATTTTATCTCTAAT